AAGCTGTTCCAAACCTGTATGAGTTTCTTTCTTCTGTTGAACATAAAAGAGGATATTTTGAAGAATGCGTGTAACCAAACATTTGACGGACCCCAGTGACTTGCATAGTAAGGGGGAAAAATAATACTCAATGGGCCATCAATTGTTTGTTTGGTTACACGCATTCTTCAAAATATCCTCTTTTATGTTCAACAAAAGAAAGAAACTCATACAGGTTTGGAACAGCTTGGGTGTGAGTAAATGATGACAGAATGGTCATTTTTGAGCGAATTATCGCTTTAATTTACATTTAAAATGGTCACACTTTATTGTAAGGTCCAATTCTCATATTAACAAACCATTAACTACGACTTTTGCCTCAATAAACTACTACGCTTACCTTATTTTTACTCCCGTCGCCGCCCATCACATTTTATCAACACGCGATTTTCTTAAAAAACAAATCTACTCTCCCACAAAAGTCAGTCGATAAAAAGTGAATGCCACGTTACTTAGACCAGCCTCGCACACAAAATAACGCGGTTTCAGCAAGCGCATCAGTGTGCCAACCTTTGATACACATGCAGGCGCGCGAGACTCCGCCCCGCCTACTCATTAATATTTAACACATAAACAAAGATCACGTTACAGCAATGCTTCAGAAACGTCATGATTGATTGATTATGTAACTCTCATACTCACAGACGTGACCTTATTTTATCTAGTAAGAGGCTTCTGTGGACCTGTGGAAAATCAATGTATTTGTAATAATGCACTGAAGGATAAAATTCACCATTATCTCCAATTTTGTTAGCTATATGTGACTATTTTATTTATTCGCGTTTTATGCAAATCTTTATAATTAAGCCTAATAAATTCTTTGCATGTGACTATATTTCATACTAGCGCACCTCTTAAGTCTAAAGTTTTCCATAACCTTTTATTTTAAACTTATATAACTTCTAATTTCTTTAAAATTATCTAATGAAATTTTTTTCTGACATCCTTATGAGTATTGATGATTTACATAAAGTTTGAAAATAAATGAATTTTGAGGGCTCTTTGGGGCCTGCTTTTATTTTATTGACAAATATTAATTTATATGCTTGGTGACATTTAATACCTCCCATTATTTGTACAAAGAACAATACTAGGCCCATTGCCTGATACAGTTCATTTTTAAACATTCAAGCTGAAAAGACATCTTTCACTTTTGAAGCTGACAAGCAGAAATCAGCAGCATCTCAGACATTATTGAAATGATACAGAAGATAACCACAGATACAAAAATATCAGAAAATACTTTGTGTAAAAAGTGCCATAGTGTTAAAATTACAAAGCATTCATCAGACAGGCTGCAAAAATGGCATAAAATAAGATGCTTCCCATGATGTCCAACTGTTCCACAGGCAGAAGATCCTCAGTCCCATTCGCTTTTGTATTGCACTATGTAGTTAGTACAGTAAAACAGTGGTCAGCTAACTAATATCATGTAAATTTAACATTGAGCTCAAATGGGGACAAATTCTTGATTTTCCCCCCCAGTGATTTTTCACTAATTGTGGGATAATATGGGTTTCCAGTATATGTGAATTTCAGATTCTTCTAGCTTTTCCATTCTGGCCTACTAGAATCTCCTGATCCAGCAGGAAAGGTGTCACAATGCTCCTATACAAAGTATAGATAAACCGTTGAATTGTAGGACACTGTCTTGAGCTGTGAGGATGTTATCCTACTTGAAGGGGTAGTTCACCCAAAAATGAAAATTCTGTCATTAATTACTCACCCTCATGTCGTTCCAAACCCGTAAGACCTTCGTTCATCTTCAGAACACAAACTAAGATATTTTTGATGAAATCCGAGAGCTCTCTGACCCTGCATAGACAGCAAACATACTACCATGATCAAGGTCCAGAAACGTAGCAAGGACATCGTTAAAATAGTCCATGTGACATCAGTGCTTCAACCGTAATTTTACAAAGCGACAAGAATATTTTTTGTGCCCAGAAAACAAAAATAATGACTTTATTCAACAATTCATCTCCTCCACGTCACCCTGGCACCATTTTGGAGAGTATCACATACAGCACCACGCGGAAACATTGTTTTCATTCAGATCAAAACCTTAACAACGCATCCGCGTGAGACAGAACAGCATACGTTGTTTACGTTCAGTGGATACTCTCCGAAGTGGGACACGGAGGAGACGAACTGTTGAATAAAGTCATTATTTTTTTCTTTGCGCACAAAAAGTATTCTCGTTGCTTCGTAAAATTACGGTTGAACCGGTTGATTATTTTAACGATGTCCTTGCTACGTTTCTGGACCTTGATCGTGGTAGATCCCTTGCTGTCTTTGCAGGGTCAGAAAGCTCTCGGATTTCATCAAAAATATCTTAATTTGTGTTCCGAAGATGAACGAAGGTCTTATGGGTTTGGAACGACATGAGGGTGAGTAATTAATGACAGAATTGTCATTTTTGGGTGAACTCTCTCTTTAATAAAGATGATTTAATGCTGTATGTAGTTAATTTAAATATACTGAAATGATTTATGGCACAACAGGAGCACATAAAAACAATGTCAGGTGTACAGCACCCATATTAGACAGTAGAATGACAATCCCTTCTTCCATTGCAGGACCAGCACCTGCAGTCATGGCTTGACCATGGTGCTGGTTCCTGTGTTCACACCCAGCGCGGACGTTTAAAGGCACCACTGGTGAAGCGGAGAGAGACCTCGGACTGGGTTTGGTTATCATCATCCGTCCCTTCTCCTGTGGACTGGGACACGGTAAAGTACAGCAGAGCTTCTTCAAGACCAGCATCGCTGTGAAGAAGCTTCACTTGCGGCGACTGAAGATGCTCTTTTTGCTGGAGCTCTTGTCGGCAGTGCTGAAGCCGATCAGAAGTCTTGCTTTCTCGTCTTCCACCTGCTGCTGGAGGCTGCTGTCCGTTTTCCCATCCGTCACTTTACTTCGAGACTCTGAGCCTGAGGCGGGTTTCAACCGCAGCTTCTCCTTTATCATCTATTTATTTGTGACAAAAGTTTAACAAAATTTGAACGGAGGCCTACTACTACATTCTTACATGTAGTTTAAAGTTGAGTTTTTTGACTGAGGGGTTTGCGAGTGATTACCTGTGCAACCAGAGCCTTACGACTGTCTCTCTTTACAGCCATGGCGAAGTCCAGCCAGGTCCAGGTGTTGTTATGATACTCCAGACAGGGCAGAACCAGGTTCAGATCCTTCCAGTCTACACTGCTCTTCTCTCCCTACAGATACACCAGAAGAGAAATGCATACAGTCACACCAGGGTATGCAATGAATCGAATATTAACAACATACATTTGCAAAGACTTTGTTGAAAAACTTGGAGGTAAAACTTATAAACATTACAATGATTTTAATGTGCTTCTTACTTTTAGGCTTTCTAAAGGCAGTGTCATTTTATGATCACTCCTCATCCTGTAACTCAGATCTCTGAAATGGTGTTTGATTTGCAAATGCATTTTCTTTAAAGCATGATGAATAGATGAATAAAAATCACTTTTATTTGTTTAGGAAAGGTGTCACAATGCTCCTATACAAAGTATAGATAAACCGTTGAATTGTAGGACACTGTCTTGAGCTGTGAGGATGTTATCCTACTTGAAGGGGTAGTTCACCCAAAAATGAAAATTCTGTCATTAATTACTCACCCTCATGTCGTTCCAAACCCGTAAGACCTTCGTTCATCTTCAGAACACAAACTAAGATATTTTTGATGAAATCCGAGAGCTCTCTGACCCTGCATAGACAGCAAACATACTACCATGATCAAGGTCCAGAAACGTAGCAAGGACATCGTTAAAATAGTCCATGTGACATCAGTGCTTCAACCGTAATTTTACAAAGCGACAAGAATATTTTTTGTGCCCAGAAAACAAAAATAATGACTTTATTCAACAATTCATCTCCTCCACGTCACCCTGGCACCATTTTGGAGAGTATCACATACAGCACCACGCGGAAACATTGTTTTCATTCAGATCAAAACCTTAACAACGCATCCGCGTGAGACAGAACAGCATACGTTGTTTACGTTCAGTGGATACTCTCCGAAGTGGGACACGGAGGAGACGAACTGTTGAATAAAGTCATTATTTTTTTCTTTGCGCACAAAAAGTATTCTCGTTGCTTCGTAAAATTACGGTTGAACCGGTTGATTATTTTAACGATGTCCTTGCTACGTTTCTGGACCTTGATCGTGGTAGATCCCTTGCTGTCTTTGCAGGGTCAGAAAGCTCTCGGATTTCATCAAAAATATCTTAATTTGTGTTCTGAAGATGAACGAAGGTCTTATGGGTTTGGAACGACATGAGGGTGAGTAATTAATGACAGAATTGTCATTTTTGGGTGAACTCTCTCTTTAATAAAGATGATTTAATGCTGTATGTAGTTAATTTAAATATACTGAAATGATTTATGGCACAACAGGAGCACATAAAAACAATGTCAGGTGTACAGCACCCATATTAGACAGTAGAATGACAATCCCTTCTTCCATTGCAGGACCAGCACCTGCAGTCATGGCTTGACCATGGTGCTGGTTCCTGTGTTCACACCCAGCGCGGACGTTTAAAGGCACCACTGGTGAAGCGGAGAGAGACCTCGGACTGGGTTTGGTTATCATCATCCGTCCCTTCTCCTGCGGACTGGGACACGGTAAAGTACAGCAGAGCTTCTTCAAGACCAGCATCGCTGTGAAGAAGCTTCACTTGCGGCGACTGAAGATGCTCTTTTTGCTGGAGCTCTTGTCGGCAGTGCTGAAGCCGATCAGAAGTCTTGCTTTCTCGTCTTCCACCTGCTGCTGGAGGCTGCTGTCCGTTTTCCCATCCGTCACTTTACTTCGAGACTCTGAGCCTGAGGCGGGTTTCAACCGCAGCTTCTCCTTTATCATCTATTTATTTGTGACAAAAGTTTAACAAAATTTGAACGGAGGCCTACTACTACATTCTTACATGTAGTTTAAAGTTGAGTTTTTTGACTGAGGGGTTTGCGAGTGATTACCTGTGCAACCAGAGCCTTACGACTGTCTCTCTTTACAGCCATGGCGAAGTCCAGCCAGGTCCAGGTGTTGTTATGATACTCCAGACAGGGCAGAACCAGGTTCAGATCCTTCCAGTCTACACTGCTCTTCTCTCCCTACAGATACACCAGAAGAGAAATGCATACAGTCACACCAGGGTATGCAATGAATCGAATATTAACAACATACATTTGCAAAGACTTTGTTGAAAAACTTGGAGGTAAAACTTATAAACATTACAATGATTTTAATGTGCTTCTTACTTTTAGGCTTTCTAAAGGCAGTGTCATTTTATGATCACTCCTCATCCTGTAACTCAGATCTCTGAAATGGTGTTTGATTTGCAAATGCATTTTCTTTAAAGCATGATGAATAGATGAATAAAAATCACTTTTATTTGTTTATTTACTGAACAATAAAATAGTAAAAAACTTTTACTGTATTTTAAAATAACTTACCAATACATTTTTCTATTCTGTGTCGATTAATTAATCTAATTAATCGCAAAATACATTTGACTTAAAATACCCACAAAAGATTATTTAAAGCTATTTTTGTGTCAAATGAGAAAGTTTCAAGTAGACATTACAACTTGTAGCTTTAGAAATAAATAGCCAATGAAGGGATGCTAATACTGGTATTATACTTATAAATTTATATGATATATTATAATTATATGTGCATTAAATTAGTCAAGTAAATGCATTTATGATGTTACAAAAGGTTGCTATTTCACATAAATGCTGTTCTTTTAAACTTTCTATTCATCGATTTATTTATTCATTCATTCATTCATTCATTTATTTATTTATTCATTTTTAATGCCATGCCAGAATCAAGGCTATTTTCATGGTGATCTTGGAATAAATTATACAAGGTACACAATTTCTATTCATCAAAGAGTAACGGAAAAAATGAAAGAAATCACAGTTTTGACAAAAATATTATGCAGCACAACTGTTTTCAAACTTTAAGACATGTTTATAGAGCAGCAAATCAGCATATTAGAATGATTTCTGACGGATCATGTGACATGCGACTGGAGTACTAACTGCTGAAAATTCAGCTTTGCTATAACAAGAATAAATTATATTTTAAATTATATTCAAACAGTATTTTAAACTGTAATATATCACATTATTGCTGTTCTACTGTGACTTTGTAATTTAATTTGATAAATAAATACTGCCATGGTGAGCATAAGATGTGTCTTTTAGACTTTGAGCCTTTGCCAGGACCAACCTTGTAACTGACGCAGAGGGGAACCTGAGGAATCTTGATGTAGATGAAAGAATTATTCATGGCTGCTCTTTCTTTCATCTTATCAATGTCATCAACAGGATGCTGAATGGAGAAGACATTTAGAGGTCAAAAAACTTATAAAACTCAATTAATGGCTTGCATCTACAATATTACAATCATTCCAGAATGCAAATAATGATATGTAATTAATAAACTAAAAAAAAACCAAGAGGCAATACATATAATAAGTAGCCTAGACATTTTAATTGTAATAATATAATACCTCAGGTGGTTTGCGAAAAGACCTCCTGACACCAGCGGTTCGATTTAACCCTTGCGCCACCCCTTTCCCGGGTCCAAGCCCTCCTATGGAGTCTTCAGAGAGCTGCCTGGGTTTCACAACACCTGTGATTTAAGAAGAAAACAAGCCTTAGACACTCCACAACGCACATGAAAGTCACCCTGAAGCCATACCAGACACAAAACCCTCCAATGTCAAAGGAGCGATGAGCTTTTAATAGCTCAGGATGGGCCATCAATGTGCCCTAACATCAGCAGACAGCAATCTAATACCCTCACTAGAGCACAAAGGGGGGAAAAAAAAATAATCAATGTAAACTGATATTGATCAGCATGGGCTGCACTATGGATGTCAGTACAGCGAGTTCAAAGAGTGGTTAAAACAGGAACGTAAAGACCAATTCTGGCTTTCTAGAGGATCAGCATTTTTTTCACTTCTTGTACTTGATGCATTCTAATTCTAATTTTGAATTATTTGCATTTGATGTGATTTTGAACAAAGTTGAATATCCCAGTTATGGTGGGAAGGTCATGCTCATGACAAGAAAGAAAACTCCACAAACCTGTAGTAACCAATCTAAACTTGTCTTCTTCATCCCCAACTTCCTCTTCTTCCACATTTCTTCCAGGGAAGAAAAATCCCATCATCCTCTTGAAGAACTGGTACATGAGCTGAATGGTGAGTGGTACCACATTTACCTACAAATAAAAACAGAAAGAAGAAGAGGACAGCTGTATGTGTGAATAGGATCCTCCAGTGTTATGATATAAACAAGAATGGATTTCATGATAGTGACCTCAAAGTGCTCTTTGACGGAAATCCCTCCCACCGGGGGGCGGACCTTACTGAAGATACGGAGGGCGAGCTGGCGTCCTGATTGGCAGGGGCTCTGAGGGCGCAAAACCACCTACAACACAGAACATGAGCAAAGTTTCACCCAAATGACTGAAGTACTTGTTTGTTGTGTTTGTTCAGATGCAAACCACGAAACAAAGGAAAATATGGACATAGCTGCATATCCTGCTGGTCAAAGCCAACCGAAAATGATTGGACAGATGTAAAAATATTTTTAAAAAAAGACAAGACGTAAAAGTGGAAGGCAATGCAACTAGCCTGCGATATCAAACTACAAGTGAGAATGCGGGTGAGTTTTGTCCAAACAGCAACATAAACTTTCTGAGCAGGCATATGTCTGGATGAGGACGAAGGTGTCGACTAACAAACATAGGATTTTACCCACTCCATACATACCCTTACATGCTGCACAAGAGAAACCAAGAGTTATAGGATTAACAAATAGTAGAGATGTGCAAAATGCTAAAATGTTCAAAATGAACTAGTTGTGGGTTGTCTGAATGACTAGTTGGAAGTCCTGTATAATTAGGCTGGTTTAGTGTCATGTTCACAAGACAATGGTCTAACGTTATTGTGAAATTTATTGTGAAAGCAGTGAATTTGCTAGTAAGGCAGTATTACGACGGCTGACAATAATCCATAATAATACTGATTATATCTGTAATTATGATGAAAATGTTTCACATTAAAATAACCATAATCTCAATATCATTTACATGTACATTTACCTTGGATGTAAATATTGGAGTTAAAATGCTCAAAATAAACCAACTAGATGACCCCCTAACTAATCAACTAGTTGGTTGTTTGACAACTAGTAAACTAGGCGACCATCAGGGGACAGCATGGTTTACAAGCCTACTAACTGTCACACGAGAATAATGTTCATGTTACTTTAAATATTACAGGCAAAATGCAAACTAATTGCCTAGTTGACCTCAAACTAACTAACTAGTTGGCTGCTGGACAACTAATAAACTAGATGATCATCAGGGGACAGGACGGTCGAGTCTACTGGTTGTCAAACTAGAATATTGTCAACATTTCACTCTAAATTTCACAGCTAAAATGTTAACTAATCGGTTTGTTGACACCTGATTAATTGACTAGTTGGTTGTTGGATACATTAGTGACAGTAATTAAGTGACAGGATGGTTCATCAAGGGACAGGATGGTTAACTGGTTGTCAAACCAGAATATAGTTAACATGTTACCTTAAATATTACAGCTAAAATGAGAACTACTCGTTTAGTTGACCCCTAATTAATTAACTAGTTGGTTGTTAGACAAATTGACCATGAAGGGACAGCACAGTTTACAAGTCTACTAGTTGTCAAACTAGAATATTGTTAACATGTTACCTTAAATATTACAGCTAAAATGAGAACTACTCATTTAGTTGACCCCTAATTGATTGACTAGTTGGTTGTTAGACAAATTAGGTGACTGTCAAGGAACAAGACGGTTGACAAGTCTACTAGTTGTCAAACTAGAATGATGTTAACATGTTACGCTAAAAATAACAGTTAAAATACTATTTGTCTGTTTTTGTATATTATGTTTATTGTAGTATGTTCAAGTTCAATTGTCTAGTTTACCTCTAACTAATTGTTTGTTGGACAATTAATAGACCGTCCCGCTCCCTCTCTAACAAACGGAACCAAAAAAAATCTACACACACTAAACCAGCCCCCTACGCAGGCTTCAGTTCAGACTATGTTTAAACGTGTAAACAGCCACACAGAGACATTTGCAGAAGTTAGAGATTTTCAATGACACATCTCAACGGTCACATAGTTTCGTTATTTCCCCAACTTGGACATCCAGTGTGAATAATTAAGCAGCAGTACCTTGTATGCAGCATTGGGAAGCAGGTTATTCATGGTGAACCAGCCCAATTCCAGGAGATGCTCTGCTGTGTCATCAGACTTATTCAACTGTGGAAGAGAACATCATAGCATGGTCATATACACAGTAGCTAACATTTTACCAATGATTAGCAAAGAACATTCAGCATCTTCAACCAAAACCTCTGTCCTTGCAGACTCACCTTGCTGTAAATGAACCTCTGCAGTTCAAGTTCAGCTATACCCAGCTGTCCATCTTCTTCTGTGAGACACCAGCGTGCCTGAGCAAAGTAGAACTCGGTACGTCGCACAACGCTAACGTCTTCTGGGGGTTTACGCAGCTCCAGTTTGTTTGCTCTTTGCAGTTGGAAGTCCTTAAAACATCTGAGAGGAGGCAAAAGACTTTGATATATCCAACTATTTTGAACTATTATTGCCAATGAATGATCAAATGCTAGAATTCTGCTAGTGACCAACCGGATGAGGATGTTGAGCTCCTCACTCTTCATCTGCATGTCCGTCTTCTCTTGGTTGAGCTGATTCTGCAGGCGCAGGTTGATGTCCGACAGCTCGTCTCCTCTGAACTCTTCTGACTGGGACTGTAAGAGTCAGATAAAAGGTCATTATGAAGGAACCTCAAAGTAGTCTGGAGGAAATGCCCTCATATGAAAAGCTATGCGGATGGCTGATGGTTCAGGTGAACTAAACTAACCACAGATGTGCACTAACCCTCATATTGGAGTAGATCTGTTTCTCCAGGCAACGGATCTGAGCCAAATGCTGGCGTACCGCTTCCTGAAGGTGCAAGATACCGCTACGCTGCTCCTCAGGGTTGCTTGAGATCTCTAGCTGGAAACGCACACGCTGCTTCCTCTCGCTGTGCTCCTAAACAAAGCAAAAGATCTGGCAGATCAGCAAACAACACAAGAACTCATTCCAGAATTGGTGTCCAAACAATTACAGTCAGTTTGAACCTTGCGCCGGGGTTCCACGTGGAGCAGCAGGTTATTGACTATGTCCAGGATCATGGAGTACTGCACTGGATTGGTGGAAATCTCCAGGTCATTGTGGATGAGGGTGAAAGTGTCGACTGCACCTGATATGTTCAGAGAGAAAGCAACAATAATATATTTCTGACAGAACAACTACCAGTCAACAGTCAGTTCCTGTTTTGCTTGAGGTCGCATACCAGCCTGTTTCTTTAAAAGGTCCTCCTTCTCATGGCAGTCACGGATCTCTGGCGGTTTGATGGAGGTGGCCAGTTCAGGGTCGATGTCGTGGCTGTACCCGATGTAATACATGCGACAGCTACAGCGAGAGATGATACGCTGGACCTGCTGGGTCTCCTGCACTTGGGAAGGCTGGTTCCAATCTAAATCAGAGCAAGAAGAAACAAGTCAAATTAACTAGACTGTGGCTACTGATTGGACGTGCAAAAGTTGCTGCCACAATGCTATATGGATGAGAGATGGGCCACTTGTAGAAAGATGAATGGGAGAAATTGTAACACTCAATGGCCTTGTCCCAAATGGAATCAGAAGCCCTCACGCTCTTCCCAGTCTACACTTTTGTGATTTAAATGTCTGCTGTGGAGCTCATCTTAGTGCGGCCTTGGCAGAAGAGTGCATCAAGGGCACATAGAGTTCGTCCCCGAACTCAAATCGTAAATATCAAAACATGTTTGATATTTACGACTCTTGATCTAGCTGCCTCTGATGTGCCTCTGCTTCTGATCGCTCTAGTCACGTTTGATCTCGCGAATCTCTGTGAGATTTTGAGTCACTGTGAAATTGTCCCTACAATCGACAAGTGTGTGGTCTCTCGGTCTGGTCGAATCGTCTAGTGTGCGCATTCAGAGGATTATAAGGCTAAAAATCAGTTGAAACTGTCTTCTTGTGTGTGGTCTTAATGGTTTTAAAATTGGTTAAGATTTGAAAATCGTCTAGTGTGCGGCCAGCTTTAAAAGACATGGATAAGAAGTGGTCTTTGTAAGTCTGCAAATGGATGTGCCATAGGCATTACCAAGATGTCTGTTGAAGGGACTTTTGATTTAAAGCAGGGGTGCCAAACTCAGTTCCTGGAGAACACAGTCCTGCAGAGTTTAGCTTCAACCCTAATTAAACGCACCTGATCCGGGTAATAAAGTCCTTCAGGACTATTTGGAAACTACAGGTATGCGTATTGGAGCAAACTCAAATTTACAATACTGTGGCCCTCCAGAAGATGAGTTTGGCACCCCTGCTTTAAAAGAGTCTTTGGGTGTTCTGAACATTTTTAACAAGCTGCTATGCGGTTGCCAGGATATTCTGTGGAGCTTCTAGGGCATTACAAGGTGGTCCATCCCAAGAGATAAATGTTATGAACTCAAGAGTTAAAACGGCACACCTGTGGTGGTGCTGACCATGCCTCCAACAGCCTGGCCACTCTCCATCAGCTCCAGGACTGAGTCCAGATTCCTCTGCCTGTGTTCCTCAATGTTCTTCACCTGTAGGTCCACAAAATGAGAACTGATTGCTATAATGCAATGTTTCATTGGTTATATATGCATGATAACTGTACTTCTGAACCCACCTCCAGCCACAGCTGCCAGTCCTCCTGTTCAGAGGGGTTTTGCTCCATGGTGGCGAAGTACTGCATACCATCCAGCAGGCACGTCCAAGTGGTCTTCTGCTTGAGTGTGTCGTTGTACCAAGCAGGATGGTGCTCACACTGCAGTAATTGTGCCTTGGCGGCAGACACCAGCACGCAGCCGGCAGTCTCAGTGCCTCGCAGCATCATCTGAACACCATGCACATGGGAAGATGTTTAGATCTGCTAAAACAGTACCTTGCACTACAGGTTACTGCTCTCAAATCGGAAATCATACCTGACCGTTGACGAGCTCTATGAACCAGTTGCGGTTGTAAACGTCATCCGTCTGGCACGCGGCAATTCCACAAAGCTGGTCGCTCACTCCTGCGTCCTCTTCAGAGAAGACCACAAACTTATCGGTCTCCTCGATAAGCTTCTGTAGCATGGACGTTCCTAAAAAGGACAAGAAAAACACATCAACTGGGGCAAAGAAAGCCTTGGTACACTGAAGACTGATCATTTCCAAACAGCAAAAATTTGATTAGTCTGGACAAAAAAAAACAGGCAAATGAGCTACAATATACATCAGATTTTTAGGCCGAAAGTCACAAGAAGAGCCTACCTTCATTCTGACTCTTCTCTGGGCGAGTGGTTGTGGTGATGACTGGTGTAGCAGGACCTGTGTTGGAGGAGTAGCTGGACATGGAGCGTTTCAGCTTTTTCGTCTGCACCTGGGTGTCGATCCGCAGACCCTTCAGAGCCTCGGTGGACAGGTTTCTCTTGAGCACGGCTGCTTTCTTATAACCGTCGTACAAACCAAAGGCAATATTCCGGTTGGTGGTGGTCCAAGAAGCCCTCAGGTCCACCAAACACAACTTGTGCGTGTAGGAAGCATTGCTCTCGTCTTTTGAGTTTACTTCCTGAGACAATTAATGCAGATATATTGTTGGTTTGTCAATTAGTAAAGGCGTTAATTTTATATTAAATAATAAATAGCAACATTTTATTTCTTGTAGATAAATTAAAAAGGTGAAGAGCTTGAAAAAAGTCAGCACACTCAAACATCAAAGAGTCACAAGCGAGATGAAAGCAATTTAAGCAATTTACTGAGTGAAACAAGGCAAACATTTCGGTCACATGTTGACCATTTTCAATGCCAAGCTAACCTTCAATGCCAAGCTTGTAGATAAATGATCAATTGGTGTCTCTTAAATGCAATTTGAGATGCCTTACCTCCTCTATGCGGTTGCTCTGTCTCTGGTAGCTGAGTGAGGACAGGCTGAGCAGGTGGGTCTTCTTCACCTGGGCATTGATCTGGTGGTCGGCTGTCTCATCCCATGTGGAGGCCATGAGGTGCACGGTGACCAGAGAGAGCTCGCTCACCATCTGAGTAACGTTCCACTCGGAGATCAGTCGTCTCATCACAGTACCAGCTGTAAAACATGCATCGATTATTTCAGCAGAACATATCAATGTCAAGTGGAGAGGGTGACTGAGGATGTTTGCTCTCTCACCCTGTGGGATGAGCCTCTGTGCTCCTCTGGTGAAGACATGACCTTTACTGCACTCCACCTGAATGCCCCTCTGCTGAGCAAATGATGCCCAGTAATGGACCTGCACAGGAACATTTTAACCTTGCATATATTTCATCACAATTACAAAAAAATATTTCCAATATGACAAAAGATCCTTTGAATGATAAGAATACACTATTTTATGAGGGTGAATGATCTATATAGATACACAAGCTTATAAAATATAAATTATATTTTATTATTTAATTATAAAATAATTAAATAAACATACATGAAATAAAATTATTAAAATGATTATTAATATTAAATATTTATTATTAGTATTATTATTAATAAAAATAATAGTAATAATAAACAACCGTTTGGTTTCAGCTATATATCATTGAGCATCAGCACGAAGACAAGTTAACTAAATTAACTAATTAAATTTTAAAAAAGGAGGCAGGCCTAAAATATGGTGTGACAGAATCAGGTGTCACCTGTAGCTGTGGAAAAGATGCAGTATAGGACATCTGTTTGTAGTGCTGGCCGAGCTTCCTGCGGATGGGTCTAAGGCTGTGGAAGAGCTTGCCTCTGCAGATGGGCCGGGACACGCTGGTCCACGTGGCCCAGAAGTTCTGCATCCAGCGCAGGGTGCTGCTGTAGAGGAGGATTCTGGGCTGATTGGGCTCTGAGAGAAAACACAAACAAAAGCCTTTAAAACCAGAGCTGAAATGACCTTCAAGCCTGGAATACACTACACGACTTTTGCCCCGATTTTTATTCTGGACGACGCTAGTTGCTGCTCCGATTTTAATAGTTGCATAGCCTTTATCAGCATTTAGAAAAAAAGGCTATAGTTCTAACCTTTGCCACAGTGCTGGTCGAGGTCCATGGTGATGGAGAGGTTGAGGTTTTCAGAACGGAAGGCCCTGTAGGAGTCGTGTGGCTGGCCTGAGATGACATCCGCAACGCTCTCCACAGCACAGAGCATTACGGCATGGTGGTCATGTGGATTACCATGGCATAACCATTGGAGGTCAAGGGTCATACAAAGGCTCGGGAGGTGCAGGAAGCAGATATCATCATACCTGTAGAGAAACAGACCAGACAGATTTAAATAATCAAACTCAATTCAAAATGTCACATTGTAATGCAATGCAACTACTAGTCATATACTTGGAGGCTGTTCTAACGTTGACGTCCAGGTCACCCTTGAAGACAAACTGCCCAGGATTCCAGTCAAAGTTCAGCTTGATCCACTCCCAGTGCAGGTTCTCCGTGGTGTTGTACGGGTCCTACGCAAAAAAAGCATTATATTTAGCATTAGATATTTAAAAGTATAAGCTGTTTTTAGCAAGGAGCCTGGGTGTGTTTGTTAGTACCTCAGTAGCGAGCTGATGCAGGTTGGCCTGTTCGATGTCCATCACCCAGCGGCCATGCAGAAGAAGTCTGCTTTTATCCCACCAGGTCAGAAGGGGGGATGGGTCAGCTGTGGGTTTGGTCAGTAAATCAACAGCCTGGCCAATCAGCGTCCAAGCAGGATCCCAGCATGGCCCCCACACAATAGTGTAGAGGAAAATATTTGCTATACGAACAATTAGACCGGTTGAGTCACATTGTTGCAATATCACATTACAGACTTACGAGATCAAGAGAGTGTTGTGACTCACAATGGATGTCGTAGTAGAACTTCAGAGGTGGCATATTCCTGTAAACGGTCACATCACCCCATGGCTGGCCGAGTTGGACCACCTGTTTGCGCTTTGCTCTCAGCTGCCCGTCCTGCTCGGTGCCCATCAGACGTCCCGACAGCGACCATTCTCTGATCTCAAACAAGTAACGAGGATAGTCCCGGATTCGCACTGAACAACACAGGAAACAAGAATGCTAGTCATCATGGACTCTCATAAGTGACAAAAAAATAGCACTTTGTACATGTAGCACTCAGCAAACAACACTTAAAATTGATTCTAATAGGTTTGATATTAGCATGTTTCTATGCTAAAAGCTCAATACTCTAATAAGTATAAAAAAAAATTGACAAACATGGAGTCAATTCTGAATTAAACTGAAGCAATTTTAACAACACCTTTCAGTATTGAATTAATTTGCAATTGGCATTTATTTTGTCAGCCATCTTGGATGCATTTTCCCCCCCACCACGCTAGTGAAATAAATTCAAACTACTTAGGAAAAATAAAAATAAAAAAAAGCACGTAACAAAATTACTAAAAATTAACAAAATTATTTTTAGGCTCCAGCTAAATTAGCTATTCTTTCTTCCAATAGCTTTTGCTCTCTGTGATGTGCTGATACAAAAACATGTGATCCAATGTCGTCCACTGCACTGTTAAAGCGTTTTCACTCCGCACCTGATCAGATGATGATGGGAGGAAATAAAATCAAGATGTGGTTAAAGCTGGCATGAAATGGAAACTATGATCATGTTTTCTTCTCTATTGTAATGTGCATTTAAGTAAAATGAATAAGATGAAAAATGAATTTTGTCCATCATGAATTGATTGGAACGTTGATGTTTGCTAATTGCTGTGACCTCATGAGTGACAGGTTGATGGAGGGGAGGGATTATCATCCTTCCCTTGTGCTGGTGCAAATGTCATCAGAGAAGAGATATTACAGCGAGGAGGAGGAGGAGAAGTACATTTTTTGATTAAAGATTACGAGGGCAAATGAATTTGAAACAAATACTTTAATCTTAAGTCATGTTTGCGGAATACAAGTCTAAAATGTACTGACTTACAGTTGTGGTCAATTTTACATACACTCAAAATCATACAGTCACTGTATGAAAGGGTTCAAATATGTAAAAGATGCTGGAAAACCAAAGAATTTGCTCTGTTTTTCTGAAGAACAGCAGGCAGTTCAACTGTTCAGGACAAACAGAAAAAAAAATGCTGCGGATCATCCAGGAAACAACACACAGTATTAAGAAACAAGTGTATGTAAATGTTTGAACTAAGGATGTCAACGATTAATCGATGATCGATTAATTGTCAATAAGAGATGCAATCAATTAAAGCTATCGATGGTCGATTAAGTCGTTTAATTTTGGGCTGCGTGCGGCTCTAATGTGCAAAACACGTGTGAGCGGCTGTGAGTGACGGTGACGGTATATAAATGCATCATCATTCATTCATAATGTACAAATTAAGCTTTTAATGTGATTTAAACTTTAAAAGAAAACAACACAAAGTTCTTCAACATGGAAAGCAATAGAAATGTAGTAACTAAGTCATTTCCCCAGATAATTCTTTCATATCGGGCTCTGCGCTTTGCAGGGCTGCGGGACACAGGACAGATAGGCTATTCATTCCTACAACTTGTTAATTCGTTCCTACGACTTATTAATTTGTGGCCACTGTCCATGTTTCATTAATTTTGTTCCTTAACCCATGATTTAACTAAAATGAGGGAACAAATTAATGAATCTAACGAATTCTTAATTCATGGCCATGAAATCTTTCATTTCCCTTAGATGCGAAAACAGTGCTAAAAAGTGAATGACAATTAAATAAACCTGCGAAATTAAGAGGGTTAGACGGTAATAAATAAACCAATTATTCCTCTAATAAACAAAGCTTTTATACCACACTTGTCATAATCGGAGCTTATAATTTGTAAATAAATAATTGCTGGATTCAAAACAGCAATTAAAAGGCGCTGTGACCGACACTGACTATACGTTTTCCCGGAGCATTCAATGCTGTCACTAAACGGTGATGCCACAACTAAGAGCATCCTTCACAAGTTTCTGCAGGACCTAACTAGCCTAGGCATGGGTTTTCAAGCCCTGGGACAAAATGGGATGCTTTAAGGAAAATGTATAGCCTATGTAAGCAATAGGCCTAAATAAAAATAATTTGTTTTCATTAAAAAAAAAAAAAAAAAGAAAAATATATCTGGCTTAAATAATTAAGCTAACAGATTTAAAACAGAAGTATGGCGCAGCACTCCATAAAGAAGTTTTTTTATGTTTCAGCTGTTCGATCACGCCGGCACCTCACGCGCGCACACCCCACATATTCTAGCAATTCAAACTTACATCGCAGTCTGTTTATTATCAAAATAAAATACAGTCAACCAAACATATAAAAGGTTACACTGGTCAGTTTAATTAGACCGCAGTATACCGGTCCACTCTGCCAAGGACGTTTTTGCTCATGTGAAGAGGATGATCTTTTCCGTCTATATGCGAATGCGTGTAAAGTACAAGCCTAGTTTACATTATAAATAATAGTTTAACATTCAAATACATTACGAATATGGAAACATTTGGATTTGTGCCGAATGAGACGTGAGCAATAAGCTCCAAATACATCTAGCCAAACCCGCGCTCGCTCCGTCTCGTATGCACGCAAGTGTGCACTGTCACGATCTAATGCACTGTAAATGCCGGATTTTTAAAAACAAATAGACCTACCGCAACGCAAAAATTCAAAATCTGACATTTTCCAGGACAGGATCCAGCAGGATAATATTAAGTACAGGTCATAATATTCACATGATAATGTTTCATGTGAGCAACAGTGTGTTTTGCTGCAGCAGCGCCAATGGAAGCGGTTCACTGACTGCGCAGCAGCCACACACGCCACAGTTACGTTTGGGATCGTTTTGTTTTAAATGCCATAATGTCAGTTGAAATCATTGCAATTGTGTTTAAAAATACAACAACGAGCACCACGAAACCTTTTAAAGAGGCATGTTCAGCGGTCCCCGTGTCGGGATAGGAAACAGTCACTAATGTAAAATGATCTCAAACGAGTTCTCTTCATTTTATCAAATTATCATAATCATCTATTCATTTTACAATCCTGCTACTAGCATTTAATTCAGACTAAATCCCCTTTAAATCAGGTGAGAAAGTGTTGGGTTTTTTTTGAGTAACTTTTGCACATCCTGTCATGCCGGGCTGCATAGATGCATTTTGCAGCATTAAGGTTAACGATTAATCGATTAATTGGTCGTTAATTTAAACGACGATCGATCATGGAAATGATCGAAAATTGACATCCCTAGATTGAACGGTGTAAATTTAAAAATTCAACTATTATTTCCTCTCGTGGAGTATGTGAAATATCTTATTCAGGTCAGTAGTAAATAAAAAATAACATGCATTTTGTATGATCCCTCTTATTTTGGTAAAATAACTAACATTTTGCAGATACTGCAAAGTGTATATAAAATTTTGAACACAACTGTATATTCCAAAGCGACTTTTATAATCCAATTAAAATGCAAAACATGTGCAAAGCACAGACATTTAGATTCATGTCGAATGAGAAAGGTACATGATTAATCTGTATAGCATATTTCCCACGTCAATACTTTTTCTTTTGTTTTGCTTCAGAATTTGTTTAGGCTTGGCCTTTATAATAAATGCCACACTAATTTAGGTTTGTTTTATACTTTTATTTTAAATCCCCGTTATGTTCTAAATACCATTCAATTTAAAGGATTTTTGTGGATTGTGGGGAACTAAAATACACTTTTATAAAGTTTTGAAAATTTTCATTTTATTGTTCTCTCAAAAATTGAATTTTTATCTGGTATGACTTACAGATAAACACTACAACAACCCTTTAAATTAAAAAAAAAAAAATTACATTTCTTGGTGATTTAAACAGGAATGTACATTCTGTAACTACATTTTGATTCATTTGGTTGTGCTCAATCTTCCTGCTTTTTTTCCAGCAAGAATGCATCTTGTGTTGAGTACGGTTGCGGTATTGGACTGAAAGTCACGATTATAGTGTTGACACACATTACTGTCCTCTTCTAAGCAACTGGATCACAAGTTATGACCCAATTCCCCCATACCAAATCAAAATTAAAAACAAGGCCTCATTGTGACCAGACTGCAGTAAAATAAGCAAAGATTTTAATCTTAGTTTTGGGCCCTGCTATAATTGTTAATGGAATTCGATATGAAGTGATCAATCATTGCAGTCACTTACAACCACACCTAGTGGTCATGGCCTGTAATAAGTGATCCTAGGTGATGGAAGTCATGACAGCTGTGTGTAGAAGCAGTGTAGTACCTCCAGACTGCGGCCGCTGATGTTGTAGGAGACAGTAAACGCCGTTAGGGTCAGGATGGGGTTGGGAGTTTGGGCGGCTGGGCAGCAGGGCTCTATACTCTCAGTGAGGGCCTTCACCACAGCCAAAGAAACACCTTGGACAGAAACATTCGAATTCTCCCCTGATCCTTCAGCTTCCACTGTGTCCACCCTCACTGCAACAGCCCCTTTAATGCAACACAGAAAAACAAACTCTCAGGTACTGAAACAAACTAACATGTACTGCATAACTTTTTGGATACAAGGAAGAAAAACAAGAGTGTAACTGGTATTTTAAGGGCTTCTTTTAGTTCCCACCTGCCACATTGGAGAGTGTGAATGTGTTTACATCCTCAAGATTGAGTTTAAACTTAAAGAGAGGTGGTAGACGGGTTGAAGGCTTTTCTGGAGTGGAATGTGAGGAGACGTTCTCCGCTTTGTCCAATTTGAGAACGGAGAACAGACGTGACAGACACAGAGTGCAGGTCTCGGACACTTCCAGCTGCAGGCCTTTCAGACTTGACTCCATACAAGCGCTCCCAGAAGGGCTGGATTTCACAGTCCTCGACGAACTATAGCTGCCCTGTGGGCGAATTAATTAAAAAGGGCGTAATGTAAAGCCAAATGGTTATTATTTTAAAAATATAGCCCATCTTTCATGATAAATAATAACTTACTACATAAATGCAATGCATATTGATTTTACCTGCAGTGTGAGAGAGTCTAGGATAAGGGCTTCCCCCCAGACATGTTTTCCAGCTGGGTGAGGAGCCTGCTGGATATGGGAACCCTGGCCCACACGCCACCAGAAATGATCCAGGGACAGAGAGGCTTTCTCAGTCACAGCCAGACTCTTCACGTCATCCTCTTCTGAGCCCAACAAGTGCTGCAGTTCTGTGAGACACACCAGATTCAGTCACACATCACAGCAGAGACACGTTTAAACTGAAGTGTTCAATCAATTCTATTTTACCAGAAGTTGACCAAAAAAGGAAACTACACATGAAAACGTATTCTATAAAGCTAAGCTACATAATCACAACGTGAAAATACTTTTTCATTCATCTCTAACTGGTAGAGAACAAAACCTGCTGTTATTTCGAGTAATTCCGATCTAATCTGAATGGGTTGTTCAACGGTCTATTGTTTTTAACAGCATTCAATAGCCACACTTCTCTATTTACCAGTGTTGGCTGAGATGAAGCCCAGGGCAAAGGGTGGCGTATCTCCCAACTGCACTGACACATTGACATTAGACACGGAAGAGCTTATCATCAGGGGAGCGTCCAGCTGAGGGAAGCGCCTGGGAGGGACGAAAGGACACTTATGAGAGAGAACAATAAACAAGACCTCCATTACTGCCCAATCTGGGACGCTCAGAAAGCAAGCGGGCGATTTATACCTTTTTTTATGAGTCGTTTTTTTATGCGAGAGCTGGTCCCATGATAACATGTCCAGCCAGTGGGAGAACTCTTGATGACGGTAGTGGATGATACAAGTGTTGACGGTGACCGTGCTAGAGATGTCAACAGATGTCACCTTAAGAGAGAGTGAAGGTAGAAACAATAATGAAGAACAAAACAAACACGAAGCTGCAAAACATACAGCAAAGAAAGATTTTGATTTGCATAGAGAAATCATATAGAAAGCGAGCAAAACAACTCACCTGCAGTATTGTTCTGAGTGTGTTCAGACATAAAATTCTCTGTCGGCTTTGTGACAGTAAAAGACCATCTGAAAAACACCCAGTACCCACAATACGTAGCTTTAAGTGTGTGTTCAGATCCCTAACTCTAAGCAAAAATAACCGTGATAAAGAGTGTGTTCATGTGTACTTTACCCTCCAGCAGAAGTTCCAGACGGCTCTGTGGGAAACTGAGCTCAGGGGAGAAACTCTTCAGAGGAAGCTGCTCATCATCACGATCATAACCCAGCTTCAGAGATTTTAAAGTCCAGTTCAAAAGTCTGCAAAGCAAACATAGTTTGTTAGAACACAAAAATAAAATTCAAGATTGATCAGAAGAACTGTAACATCACTGCTCACCTCTTCTGACTGTGCATGGAGAGTGTGATATTAGTGTTCTCAAAATCCACATTGACCTTCTGTGGAATCAGGTTGTGAAGACGCTCAATTGCTTCAGTTTGGATGTAAGGGTCTTCTTTGTCATCTTGAAGAGGCAGGCACAAACATTTATATTCACAGCAAGGTTAATTACTATATTATATATATCATATTATAGTATAGTATATATTAATATATTTACAACAGTTTTCACTAGTTGAAATAATATGAAAGTTAACAGAAATAAAATAGAATACATAAACTAATTTTATTAGTTTAGCCAAGGCAACATTTGAAGATGAACATGAATACACTGAAATATGTTATACCATAACTGAAATGAATGAAAACTATAAGCTATAAAACTATAAAAAACATATTTATAACTAAAAACCATATTTAAAATAAATAAATAAAACAAAATTACTAAAACTCTGACTGAAATTAAAATGGAAAATATATATTCAAAAAACACACGTCAAAAATAAAAACTATAAACTATAATGATTTACAGCAGGGATGCACAAAAACCTAACTGCGCACACACGTGTGTATTATTATCATTACTAAATAGAAATATTTAACAAAATAAGAATATACTACTGTAATATTTCACTGTAAAGAAAAATTAAATTATTTTATTTTAAAGAACTGTAAAATTACAATATTTCCTATTTACTGCATCTTAATTTTTTTCATTTTCAGATATTAAACTATCAGGCTTTTATTTTGATGGAAAACCGCAGGACGTCAAAAGCTTCTCTTTTGTTAACGACATCCGGTTAAAATTTTTTAAATTAAATTGCACTTTGCCATTTGATAATTGCACTAAGCTAAATTACGATTTCGGATGTATTATGACTAACTGCATAGCTTTAATGTAAGGTGTGTAGCTTAAAGGTCAAACCTGCAGTGTGAGCTGTGCAGACAGCAGGAGCAGCTCCTGGAGGTTTGGGGAGCTGGCTGAGGAACAGGCCCTCGTGAAGCTCAGCCAGCAGAGTTCTCACACACAGTCCCAGACGACCCGGCCTGAGACCAGGCAAGCTCACGTCACCATTCAGGGCCAGACTCAGCGATACCTCAGCCAGACACGTGTCCTGCTAATGAGAGCACAGGCATTCAGTTACCACCTTGTAACCATTTAACCCAAACGTTTATGTTTTGTACACAACACAACATAGTGAATTAACACCTTAACACATGAATGTTTGCTGTACATACCAGTCTGCTGCTCTTCAGAACTTTACTGCTAAGTTGTCCCACTGAGAAATCCCAGGCCAACCTGACAACATATCAGCAAGTTGTCATTTGAGTAGGCAGTTGTGTAACTTGTTTCGCTAAAGGGCTTGGTCAGGGCCAAAATGGTGAAAGATTGTGGCTTGATCCTTGTGGAATAGGAATAGGGATGCACAGTATACTGGTATATTGGTTATTAAAATAAAAAGTACATTTATCAGTAGATATTGGATAATTGATTGTGCATGTTCATTACACTAGCATTCAAAAGTTTGGGGTTAGTAAGATTTTTTTTGTTATTTGCTTTTATAATTAATACTTTTATTCCGCAAGGATGCATTTAATTGATTAAAAAAGTGACAGTATAATGTTTACAATGTTGTCAAATATTTCCTGTTGTTTTAAACTTCTTATTTAGAAAAGAATCCTGAAAAACAAAATGTAAACTGAAAACTGAAGGCCAGAGTAACGGCTGCTGAAAATTCAGCTTTATCGTCATTCATCAGAAGAATAAATTACATTTTAAAAAGTAAAAATAGAAAACGGTTATTTTAAATTGTAACCATTTTTCTAATTATTACTGTTTTTATTGTATTTTCAATAAATAAATCAAATTCAAAAACAAAAAATATCTTACCAATTCCAAACATTTTTTAATTTTACTTTACCTTTTTCTCACTTAAAGCTAATTATAAGAAAAAAAACTAGTAATAACACTATTAAATAAATAACCATTTCTCATACTGTGCGTTATAATATTATGATGCCTAAATTGTACTTGTAACATTTAAAGTGGTTCCTTTTACCATTTAGAATGACTGTTTTTTTTTTTTTTACAAAATAGCATAGAATTTAGATATTAACCATTTATTGCCATGGTCAATCGTGGCTATTTGTTACTAATTTATATTGGTCACAACATGAAATTAAGTACAGGCTTAATGGTTTTAAAGCTTCAGTGCATCCCATTCGGTTGGTGAAGTGAGCTTTACCCGCTATGCACACAGCTATCAGTCACACAACACCATGCAGAAGTCTTTTTTAAAAGAAGTTCTTCTTTTTCACAGGCTAATCACCTTTTACTTTGATGATCCAGCAGCAAAGTGATGGCAGAGGATGTCATGTGCCAGAGGGACTCAGGCAGGGCCAGATTCAACACCATCACATTTATAGAGTCAATGTGGAATGACAGCAGCTGCAAAACAGACACCACTGGACAATTTAAAGGTGACATATCATGAAAATCTGACTTTTCCAGGTTTTAAGTGCTATAATCAGGTCCCCGGTGCATCTACCAACCAAGGAAACGTGAAAAAGATTAACCCAGTAACTTTGTTTTGGGAAGCCCTTTTCTGCAAGCGTCTGAGAAAACCAGCGTGTCTGATTTCGCTCCCTTGGTGACGTGACAAAGGGATCTCATTATAATATTACCGCCCCTTAATCTGTAAGTTTCCACCCACGGCGCAGTTATTGTGTATTGTGACAACAGTGTACTAGTTCTAATGCCATGGCAAACGTTTGAGCAAAACATGCTAACTGTTCAGTCTTTGGCTGCACAGATGAGCACAGAACACTGGTTACAGTCCCAGCCTCAGAGGAGACAAGACAGCAGTGGATTTATGGATTTATTTACTGTATATTGCTGCTGCCACACAGATCTAAAATAAACATGCAATTTATTTCCCAGCTGTTTACCTTCACAGACATAACC